ATTGTAAGGACGTTCCCCAGTCCTTGACAATTCCAACTCACAATGGCTAAGGAAGAGGATTTGGGTTTGGACGAAAATCCGTCCTACCCTTAGTAATCCCTGGTATGATCACCGTCTTTGGTTGTCTTGACTTAGAAGTCTTAGACGAAGTAGCCTTCGCCTTCGAGCTAGAGCCCGCCACCTTATTACAAGGTAAATCTTTGTTTCCAACCGTGTAAAGTTTCCTACAAGCTGCACTAGAGGAACGAGAGGGCTTGTTGATTTTTAGATTTTGTAGAGGACTTCGGCGAGTGAGCTTCTTTGAGGCTGAGCGGGTGACCTTCCGCTTCCCAGCTGCTTTCGTCTGTGGAGAGACCGGAACAGTACTTTTAACAGCAACATGAGCCGAGGAAGTTTCTCCTAAGCGCAGAGAAACAGGGACCCGTTGGAGAGGAGGGGGGTCAGGGATGGGGGAGGCAGTCGCATCGTGTTCCAACAATTCGTCACTGTCCAAGTTAACCTCAAAATACTGTAATCGACCCGAGTCAGCAATGTGGACTCTGTCCTGGGAAAGTTCATCAGAGGGATCAGGTTCGGAGAGGCGCTCTAAAGCAGAGGGGCGGTCCTTTGAAATACAGGGCAAAGACCCTCTTTCACCGGAAGAACCAAGACGATCCTTTAGAGATCGAGAGAGATGAGACCGGTCTTCTCGAAGTTGGGAATTTGCAGAAGCCGGAGGAGTACCTACAGGGTTAACAAGACGACCCGAACCTAGCAAGGGGGAACGATGAGAGTCAGAGTTAAGAGGGCTACGTCTGTCCCTGCTCCTTCGGGAGGTGGGGGGAGAATTAGGTCGTGAGTAAGGTCCCCTAGACCTGGCCGATCTAACAGATGTAGATGGCTCTCTTCTAGGAGCCTTGGATCTCCTGTGATAGTAGGCTCCATCTCTATCATCTCTTTCATCGCGGGATGGGTGCCGTGCTTGGGAAGCAACATCACGGCTGGTATCTTGCCTAGAGGCTTCTGGACGTCTGTAACCCCTCCTTTCATCATGACGATACTTCTCAGCTTCGATTCTCTGGAGTGCGATCCTTTGAGTAATCCCCAGTTTTCGATTTTTTGGAGGAGGTGCATTGCGAGGTCTTGAAGAGCAGTCAGTCTCCTCATGGAAGAGTGAGAAACAAGTGAAGCAGTGTTTTTCAATTTTAAGGTATTCAAACTCTACCTCCAACACGTCATCAGTAGGTAATTGAATATCCATTGTCATTTCCAGAGGCTGGAGTCCATTAAGCTCGACGCGGACCTTGGAATCAGTAGCGTCATGGCCTCTAAGAAGACCCAGTTGATTGCCAATGGTTTCTATCGTTTTATCAGAGCACATATGTAAGGGTATTCCGTGAATTCTCACCCAAAAGGCAATAGTGGAGGGGAAGAGCTCAGAAACCACCGGTTCCCACCGCTGTAGGATGAGCATCCACTTTTTGTAATGATAAGGGCCTTTATCAAGCACCATTGTCAGCTCCGCTTCAGATTCAAACTTGAACTGAAACTTTTCTAGGCCAAGGACTCTGCCTGAGACACGCCCTTCAAGGTTCCACACCTGGGGCATGAAGTCAATCACAGATCTAGGTTTCTGGAGATTAGGGTTTGTAACTCTCCCAATAATGGTGAGCTTATTAGCAGCTATAAGATCGTCAAAGTCACCGTCCGGGATCCGGACTGGGGGACGTTTCGCTGGGGGGGAAGGTGGAGCCGGCCACTTTTCCTTGTCCGACCGACTGTAGCGACGCGACATAGCTTTAGTGAGAGAAGAGATTATAGCAACCCAAGAACTCTGTAAAATCCGTAGAGGAGGAGATAAGTCAGAGTTTGCTGGAGAGGGACGTAAGCCGGTTGGGATCCGAGGAGGAGAGGTAAGAAAACTTTTCAAGGAAGGTTATCACAACCCAAGAAGAGGAAGGTATCAGGCTAGGAGTTTCATCCCACCCGAAACGCAACCTGGCGATGAGGAGCAACCATGTCCGTCACCGGAGGCCATGGAAGGTGGCTGTCCCTCCGACAAAGTCGGGGGTGAACCCGGCGGATAATGCTCAAGACCTTCTTTGGACCGTTGGAAACTTCCCAAAGTGGGGAACAATTCGAATCTTCAAGGTAGTAGCAGAAAGATAACCACCAAAAAGGGAAAAGGTTGGTGAGAAAAGGACAGGGGGAGTAGGATTATCCCACGGTTACGGACCGTTCTCGAAAAGCTCGTCAGGGAGAGAAAATCGCCTCTCAAATGCGTTTAGTTTTTATTTCTTCGGTTGTGGTATCAATCTATTTAACAAATTCCATAAAGAATATCAATAATCCCTCACTAAGATTAAAAATATAAACTAAAGTATATTTTAGTTTTTTAAGGCAGATTTAACTAGAAGACTTTTAATCTACTAGGTTGATTATAACAGTTGTGCTAAAAAAACTTCTAGTTAAATATAAAATTATTCGGATTTGGAAGAATCCGATTCGAATACCATCTGAATATTTATAATATTTGAAGATAATTTAATTATAAAATCTAAAAAAATCTGATACGCGAAAACTAGACATGTCCAAATGTGTACATGAATGCCATGTTTAACTAATTACGTAAACAAAAAAATATTTTTTCTGTTAATCTGTTTGAATTCTTATACTAATGAAACTATTATTTTCAAACATATAAAATTATTATGGTTAATACGTCAAATAAATGATATCAAATTATTATAGTTAAATATAGTTAATGAAATAGTTTGAAATAGTGAAAAATCTAAAAAAAAAGAGTAAAATACTTAATATTTTTTTTGAAAACAAAGTTAGTTATATTTTGTATTTTAGTTTTAGTAATATAGATAAACAAAGCTTTGTTGTTTTATTGTGGTCACATGTTGCATCAAATTCTCAAATATCATCCTGACAACAGATAAATTAGATAAATAGTCAATTTTACATGCCTACGTTTAGGGTTGGGCGCAAGGCGAGTACTTGCTATTTTGCGTGTATTTGATATTTGACTTGTCTTACACGAATAATAAAATTTCTGACTTGTATTTGACTTGTTAAAAATGAGTACTTGCTATCTCGAATACTTGATCAAAAATCAGTTACTTGCAAGTTACTTGTCTTGCTTTATTACTTGCTATTTACGAGTACTTATGAATTATTTACGTGTATTTTTGAGTATTTAAAAATTAATTACTAAATAATCATATATCAAAAAAGACATGAAGGTTTACTTATTTATTTTACTAAAAAAACATATAATTACTTTAAAAAAAATTTTATGCATATAATAAAAAACCGAGTTTAAACCGAGTAACGAGTTTTATATCTTATTTAGTAATGAGTTGTCATGTTTATTAAATTAATATTGGTATGAAACTAATATCAAATCAAGACAAGTATTATTTTGCAAGTAACAAGTAGTAATATCAAGTAACAAATATTTTGTAAAATGAGTAACGAGTATTTATAAAATGAGTAATGAATACCAAGTAAAGAGGCAAGTATTGAAAAATGAAATGATACTTGATACTTGCCTTGCCTTTGCGAGTAATAAAATTTGTTGATTTATTACTTGATTTGGCAACACCGAGTACTTGGATTTTCAAGGCAAGTACGGGTCAAGTAACGGGTATAAGGCGAGTATCGAATAATGATGCCCAGCCCTACCTACGTTAGATATAGATTAATATTAGTTGAATCTAGAATTCAAACACAAAGATATGTTAGAGATTATAAATTATTGAACAAAAAAAAAAGAAATTTATGATTAGTCTCGATTTTTGTATTCAGAATCTTTGAATATAAGATTATTCATTTTGGACCATTTTTCTTATAGAAGTAATATATGTATATATATCTTAGATCTACCTAAAGGAACAAAGGTTTCTCACATCTGTAAATGGCCTACATCTGCCTGCTAATCTAATATAAAACCAAAAAATGAACAGAAACCAAAACTCTCGTGAGGAAGATGAACACAAGAGAATCTGGAAATTATATTTGTTTTTGTTAATCGTAAAGTAACGAGATACAAGTATTTATATACAAACCTAAACTATCCGGTTCAAGCACTAAATGTGTAAACCACTTCATCATACTTAATAATAACCTAAGTATCGGAATTAGATACTAGAATTGGTGACCACCTGAGAGAGAACGAAGTGTAACTTTGATACATGCCCCCTATACAACTGGTACCAATGTATGTGGACTCGGGTGAAAGTTACGAATTGAAGACGAAACTTCAGAGGTTGCGGACACTCGATGATACCATAATGTGGATTAGTCAAGAAGCAGATTGCACCGAGCTTATTAGAGCTATCCAATAAATTTGAATATGCGGAACTAGCTGGAGATAGATTATTATGTACCAAATGTATTCTAACCCCATCTACTTGGTTTAAGATAATTTTTCGGTTAGCTTTTGTATCACCACGAGTTTTTCTACGCATATGTTATTTTCACTTATTAAAAATAAATCATCCAACGCCATAATTGTAAAATTTTATTTGTTTACAATTATAGTACCACATACATGGAATTTTCGATTTTCGTAGTACCATCTTATCGTGTGTAAAACTGGGTGTGATTTCTAGATCTTCAATACATATATCGTTTTACACACGATAAGATGGTACTACGAAAATCGAAAATTCTAAGTTTTTCACTACCACTTCTCGAGAGATTACATTTGGTTTCCAACCTCAAGAGATTACATTTACGGCCAAATGTTTAAGATTTTTGTGGTTGTAAGATGGAAGAGTTTTTGGTGGGTTAGAAGTGCATGATGACAAAATGCGTTCTTGTCGTTTACACATGTTCATATTACACGTGTTTTTTTTGCATATAATGAAAACATAACAAACCAAATTACCTACCAGATTTTTATCATATTTCACGTGTTTCGAAAGGAAAAATAGAAAGCCAATGATTTGCGTCACTCAACTACAAGCTATGTTGAAGTTTTACCATATGGAGAAATGCACTGTGCAATATCTGAAACCACAACCGTTTAATATTTTGTTAACACATATCCAGTTTACAGTTCAAAAAGACGGATGTACAAGGAGGCCACAAATCACAAACCAAAACATTACATATAGTATTCATACATTTATGCTTAGCAACTGCATAATGTGTAATTATTCAAATTACAGTTGTATATATAGTTCTGATCACATAACTCGAACTGGAACAAGCTTCAGAGGTACTTTCTTGACTATAGTAAGAGTACCAGCTTCTTCCATGTTTATGTCGTCAATGGTCATCCCATCAGGCAAACTCCAATCAAAGAAGTAAAGCAAGTTCAAGAGTCCTAACTCGACAATAGCCATCCCCATGGGCATCCCAGGACATATCCTTCTACCCGAGCCAAATGGTAAGAACTCGAAATGTTGTCCTCTATAATCCGCAGGCTTATCGATAAACCTCTCAGGGTTAAACTCCTCCGGGTTAGTCCAGAGTTTGGGGTCTCTTCCTATCGCACCAGCGTTGACCATGATCTGTCTCCCCGGGGGAATATCATAGCCTTGAACTTTGATGTGAGCCACTGTTTCCCTTGGGAGTAAAAGAGGAACTGCATGGTGTAGTCTGAATGTTTCTTTGATTACCATCTTCAAGTAAGGAACTTTATCGATATCTTCTTCGGTGATTGTCTCCTTGTTGTTGCCAAGGCGGTCTCGGATCTCGCCTTGAACTTTCTTCATCAGTTTAGGGTTTCTAGCAAGCTCTGTCATTGTCCATATCATGGTGATGGCCCCTGTGTCTATCCCTGCCAAAAATATATTCTACCAAACAAACAAGATTCAGTATCCAAATAAATAAATTAATCTTTTTAATAAAAAAAACAGATTTAATATCCATGCTAATGATTTTAGAAAAGTTGGAGAAATCTTGACTTACACTGATGACACCCCTGATATGATCTACCGTGAGATTCAAGGAATCATTCTCGCCTTGTTTATGAAGCACATCCAACATAGCATCAATGATGTCTTCATGTTCTTTTGTTCTTCCAGGACTCGAATGATCATCGATCACACGTTGAAACAGATCATCGAGCTTCAAGAAAACATCGTTGAGCCTCTTGTGTTGTCCCGAAAGCCGGTCAACGAGCCCTCCAAGTCCAGCAAGTGGAAAAAAATCGGAGCAAGTGAAGCTACCTAGAGCACTCTCTGCTTCGAACACTAGCTCTTCAATCTTCTCCTTATCGATAAACTTGTTCTCGTAGAAGTTTTGTCCTAAAACAACTCTAAACAAGATGCTCGCGGTCAGCCAGAAAAGGGCTTTGCTCAAATCAACAGGAGACTTATCCACGGTGGATTCAGACAGTTTCTTGACCATAAAGTTACATTCATCCTCTCTAATATGTCTAAAGGACTCAACCTTTTTCAGGCAGAACAGCTCACGCACGGCCAGCTTGCGCCGCTCCATCCACTCTTCGCTGTATGGCGTAAAAGCGATGTCTTGAAACCCCCGTGAGAGTAACCTTGTCCCCACAAGCTTAGGCCTGCTGCAACAGTCTAGGTCATGAGTTCTAAGAACTTCTTCAGCTGCTTCTTTTGATGAGACCACAACCACAGGAACAAAACCAAAGTGAAGAAGCATCACTGGTCCGTGTTTTTTGGCCAGACGTTCAAGTGACCTGTGAGGCAATCCTCCGATCTGATGTAAGTTTCCGATGACCGGAAACTTAGGAGGGCTTGGAGGGAGATTCCATTTTGAGCGTTTAATCTTCTTTGCGGCGAAGATTAGTGTAAGGAGAGTAACGAGGCAAAAACAGAGCAAAGAGATCGCCATTAGTTTCTGTGTTTGTGCTATTGAATTAAGAAAATGAAAAAGATGTTGCTCTCTTTTGGTTAGTTCAAAACGTCACATTTTTTGTCGATACTGGGTGACACAATTATTACATGAAGCAACATAGTCAAGGCTGGCGTCTATGTAATACTTTCAAGTATAATATGGATATTTCTAAGATTTAACATTGTAGTTTGAAACAAGTTTCAATTATTTAACTCTCGATAAGAGCAACTTTATTGAGAGTATATCTAACCCATGGAATCTTAAAATACATTTAGTTTATTTGTGGATTCTTAAAACTAATGGAAACCCAATTGAAAATATTCTAATATATGTATTTTGAAATCTCTACGGCTAGATTTTTCTTTTGGAGATACTCAGAAAAAAAAATTCATTACTTTTGAGGACATCATATTTCACCTTTTTCTTTTACTTGTTTCTTGTGTGTTTAGAAAGTAACTGAAAATAATTCAAATTGTTCTTGAGGTGATGTATATCTAACAGATGCGCGAATTCGTAAAGGAAAAGGTTTTAAATTTCAAGATAGCGATCATTAGCTGAAGAAGCACATTCAAAGCAAATTCCTTTATTTATATATTGATAATATTATTCATGTGACTTTTTGTTATTACGGCGTCGGTAAATTGGTAAGAGCATCTCCAACGATATTATCTCATTGGAATTTTACAATTTACTGTTTTTTTATTTTTACTTTTTATTATTATTATTTTTTAGATTGAAAAATAAAAAATAAAAAATAAAAAGAAATATCAACTTAAGATATAATATACTTTTTTTGAATTATGATTTAAAATTTAAAAAGTGTGAGTTAGAATATAATATGCGGTATGATAATTTTGCAATTGGTATTAGTTAACTTTTCTTACGCCCAAAATTAATATATTTAACATTTTTTAAATATTTCATATTGGTAATATATTCAAAAAATAAATATATTTAACATTTATTAGAACATAATATGCGGTATGATAATTTTGCAATTGGTATTAGTTAACTTTTCTTATGCCCAATATTAATATATTTAACATTTTTAAAATATTTCATATTGGTAATATAATCAAAAAATAAATATATTTAACATTTTTTAGAACATAATATGCGGTATGATAATTTTGCAATTGGTATTAGTTAACTTTTCTTACGCCCAAAATTAATATATTTAACATTTTTTAGAACATAATATGCGGTATGATAATTTTGCATCTATGTTTATGCCCAACTATATTGACATGATTTACATATACTGTATATAACATATTTATTTATATTGTTCATATATAATTTATTTTAGTTATATTATAAATTATACAAAACTTTTAATTAAGAGTAAGAATAACTTTAACCGTTTTAACTTTTAACATGAGAGCTCGAAAGCGAAAAACCACTTCAAAAATAATAATATAGACTTGCAGACTTTTATTAAAGTTTGGTAGACTAAATTTGTTGAATTTTATTTTATTTTATTTTTTTTATCGAAACTCGTTGAAGTTAACATTGTTTTAAAGGTTCCCCAAAAGAACTAGGTTAAACTGGCCACTAGGCAGATTGATTTTGATTCAAACATCCAGCTTAAGAAATTAGGATGCTCTGCAAATAATACCTTAAAATCCACAACTAAAATCAACGATGCTTCTGTTTGGCCGTGAAGACTCTGCAACAACAACTAATGATTGAAAATAAAATAGTTGAAGATGGAACCATTGAAATTTGAAACAATGTTCTTAGAGACGATTGGTTAGAATGTAGCAACTTATTTCACCGTTAATTTCTATTTATAACTATAAAAAATACTACTTACAGTTCTCTTGTTTTTAAAGTTGAACCCCAATGAATAAAAATGGATATAACAGCCATGCTTTTTAAAGTATTATTTAGTAAGATGTAAGAAAAAAATAAAGTATGAATATCTTATCATTTTTATTATTTTCATTAATTCTTTCATTTGTACCAGATACAGTTAAATAAACAACCTACATATTACATTTTTCAATAAAACTTTTACAGTTACAAGCCAACCAATCATTCACACTGTTAAAAGAAAAAAAATAATGTATGAATATCTTAACATTCTATTATTTCAAACGACTTAAAGATCTTCATCAAAAAGTTGTAACTGATAATGTTCAAAGAAAATATTGTAACTTAAAGCTAAGACTAAGAACATCTTCAGATCTCCAAAAACTCAAAACACTATGTATTTTTATTTTGGTCCTTATAGTTATGTAATTACATATAATTCTATTAATAGTAATTTTATCACTTTAATTTTAATAAATACATTTCAGTAAGTATTCAAATATATTTTTACATACACATTATTATTGATATAAATGCATAATCATGTTAAAGTTAAATCCAAATCGTTAATATCAAATAATACTACGTACAATAAAAATATTTTTATTTGTTTACTCTTTTGTTTAAAAAAATAAATATTTTTATTTGTTAAACTAAGAAATCGTTAATATCAGATAATACTACGTACTAACCATTTTGTTTACTCTTTCTCTAACTGAAATATTTTTTAAAAAAGAAATATTTTTATTTGTTAAACTAAGAAATATATATAAATGAGTTATAAATATTGTATTTCACTTTTTATTGTATACTTACTAATTGTTTATAAAACTTTAGTGCTTATAACCATACGAAGATTGAAGATTAAAATAAATATACAAATATATTTAAAATATATTTACATATTTTGTTATCGTATCCCATTTTCATACTGTTGAGATAAAGATCTCACATCGAAAAAATGTATAAGGGATTTCGAGTAATATACTAAGGATTTAGACCATTCTATTAACAACCAATTAGTTTTAAGTTAGAAGTACAAGAAACTTAACATGATATTAGAGGGGACCTATATCTTAACCCATTAATCTAGTCTGGTTAGTGATCTGATCATTCTATTAATAGTTTATAGAAGATTCAGTTCCACCGACATTGCTAGAAAATAAAGCATTGTTTCAGAGGAGATATGATGAATTATACGAGATTAATGGTTGTACACACCATTATTTTGAGGGAGGATGTTGGAATAAAAATCCTATGTTAAAAATATGTAAAGAATTTGAATAATATATAAAGGACTTGGATTATTTCACCTACCGTCAATTGATTCTAAGTTGAAAGTTAAGGAAGCTTAATGTATACTCTCATTTTTAAGGATGATTCATCCTCAAAATAAAGTTCTTTTTGATACATGCTCTAGAATCTAGATAGAAAACTTATTGTATGATTTGGTTGCCGAGATGCTACATGCCACCCTTAGCCGTTTAGTACATATAATTGCCTAAAGCAAAAATATTTTTGGCGCATAACTCGTCCACTATAAAATTAAAAAAGTGAGACAACCATTAGAATACATGCAACTTTTTGTTGTTTTATGCCCTTAACTATTTAGTATATTCGACGTCTAAAATACAGTTTCCCTAACTTTAGATCGATCGGCATTGCTACTGCATGTCCGAATATGACTAATATCTATGAAAACAAATGATTGTTATTTTGCACATTACCCACTCAAAACCCTGATTCCGTGGTTTGTAATAAAACAAACCATGTGCAAACGTGGAGATACTGATTGCATGAGTTTGCAATGTAATTGAAGAACTTTTTTTTTTGTTAAATTTTTATTGAAGGACTTGCCAATGGTTATTACTGAATCATTAATTTATTTATATCTAGTGAGGAATATAAATTTACTAAAGATTGTTTAAGATAGTATTTTCATGATTGGTACTTCAAATTTACAAACCATGATTATTAGTACATGATTAAATAAATACTGATGAGCGAATATACATTGTGTAGAGAAATATACGTATTTGTTTTCAAAACATATAGAAATAACATTGCTATTGGAACAGGGTGACGTAGACTCTTGTCTAGAAGAGATGTCCAAATTTTCGATTAAACTGGGCGACGTAGACTCTTGTCCAAAAATATCTCTAAACTTATCCGATTTAGTAACATATTTTTCTTTATATTAAAAAGTATAATAGTGAAAGGAAACTGACAACGTACGTCATGTGGTTTATGAATACACATACACATGTCGTCTACGACAATTTATTTAAATTTTCTATGCCCGGCGGCCAAAACTTTTAGTGTTGGATAGCCGCCATATAACATTAAACCGGATTAAAATGTTTTTGCAAGTTTACTTTAAACCAGCATAATATGTATATATATATGCAGCTAAGATATCAGTTTCACCTATCATTTCAAGACTAGTCTCGTTTATTTACACATTAATACTGATTTCCAACAATGCGCTAGTTTAAACTCGTTTGATTTTTTGCCGATTATAGAAGGATCGTTTGGAGGCATTACAGGGAAGGGTTTTGGTTGGCTAAAACCAGAATTAGTGGGTTCTGATTAGATAGTTTCAGTTTAATTCTCTATTTTTTGGACAAAAGTTGGTTTAAGGTTAATTCATAAATGGTAAACCGACTATCATCACAGACGTGTTTCTGTTTCAGATTTTGAATTGATAGAGAACTTCCATATTAGATAGAAATACAGAGCCATAAGGTAGCATATTATTGTAGATAGTATGTAAATTTTAAGAGTTGGCACACGTGAGTAGGTCCAACATTAGCATTCTTCAATTCAAGTAATACGTGTTTCGTAAACCCAAAATCGTTGACTTCAGAAAACTGGAATTTAAGGTTGAATTAGTATCATATTACTTAGAAAGTGAAAGTTGACTGAAAGTCATCAAGGTAGCTTATCATCTTGATATTTTATTAACAAATCATATATACTTAAAACGTGAATAACAGGATCAGTCCTCAGATTTTAAGAGCTCTAAACAATTTAATAAATATTATATATATATATATATATATATATATATATATATATTAAATTTGTTTTCAAATTTATAGGTTTATATATGTAAATTTTTCAAAACAAATTGCAAATTATAAGTGAATGTTTCACCAGCCTGTGCTCAGGGCCATGATGACTAGCGTTAAAAAGCA